CACGGAGGCGGTCCGTCTCTTGCAGAGAGAATTAATACTTGATGGTCACATTGTGCACCAGTGCATCCATCGTCTGTTGGTCATTTCACTTGATTGAAACCAGACTTTGTTTACATATTTGACATGACTCCACAAGAAAAAAATCGGACATTAAACAACACACGTGGTTTAACACAAAGCATTGTTAAAAGGGACATGGTCGTTTGACGGAGCCTGTTCTTAGGGTACAACCATATGGGTTGTTTGTGGTGACTTTTTTTCTAAAAGTATAATCAATTCCCTGATTTACTGGTGAAAAAATACATATGCATCGCACTGTAATACAAAAACATAATGTGCCTTTTTTGCAGACAAGACTCCAAACAGAGACCCTCTGTTTTATGGACTCTAGTCAAAAGAATACATTTCGTTTTTAGTTAAAAAAAGATACATTCAAGGAGTTGTTTATGCTCGGAAATATAACTGAGCTCTTAAACATTGAAAAATAGAATTTGATGTGAAAACAAAATTCAAATATTACTCCACATATCGTCACCATCTTGTTTCATCTTTTAGAATGGTTGCTAATCAACAATGACGTCACGCCTAATATAGCGAAAATTTCAAATATTCGATTGATAGATGAAAACAATGTATAGAACATGAAAAATACCGACTAACAGGTATGAAATGACCTGCATTAAAGTAAGAACTTGCTCAAATATTCGAATCAGAACATTCTAGATTGACTTCAGACCGAAATGTGCTGCAGTCAATGCAATTTCCGTATTATTAAAAATGCTATATACACATATATATACGTATAGCTAGTTTTAAACTACAAAGTCAGATCTTACATGAGCGCTATAGGTCATTTAATGACGCTATGTATTAAGAACGCACCCAGTTTACTTGCATGCTTTGGGTATGAGCTACGTACCACTGAGTCATATTGATGCGAGTACTCGATCAATAATACTGGGTGACGGATGGGTGATTGAGGCCTCCATTTTGCTAGAACGGCCTTGACTCCGGCAGGTCAGGATGACCTTGAAATCGAGCCAAGCGAAGCACAACAGCCGATTGTGGTATACAATAATGGACCTAGCGCATTTAATAGGCTAAGATTAGATCCGACGAAGTAACAAAAAAATCAATTTGATTTCAAAGTGATCGAAGTGTACGTATAATACTATTATATGATAAACTGTCCCGAGACAGTGACCCGACTTCGCCTAACGCGAGGCGGACATACTTATGACGGGTTTCGTTTGATTTACCTCGTAGTTTCATAATGACATAATGAAATGTTTTAATTTTTTACATTTTCTGAATAAAGAAAAAAAGACATGTATGTATGTACCCACCCCACCCCCACCCCCGATAACACACGCACACGTTTCTTATGACCTACTGGAGCCTGTAGCTGAGGTACTTGACTTTAATCAGCCAAACATTTGTGATTGGTACAATGCTTTAATTCAGTCTTTGTGGTCACTGAATCATGCGATTGATACAACACTTTAATTCAGTCTTACTGACCCATGAATCATGCGATTGATACAACACTTTAATTCAGTCTTAGTGTTCACTGAATCATGCACTTGATACAACACTTTAATTCCGTCTTACTGATCACTGAAACATGCACTTGATGCAACACTTTAATTCAGTCTTAATGTTCACTGAATCATGCAATTGATACAACACTTTAATTCAGTCTTAGTGCTCACTGAAGCCTGGGGTTGACTTTAATTCAGGCTTACTGATCACTGAATCATGCGATTGATACAACACTTTAATTGAGTCTTAGGGATCGTTGATAATGTTAATATGTATTTCAATCTTACTGATCACTCAAACATGGTTGGAAAATTTATTGCAGGTCATTGCATCCCAGTTACATAGATCAATGCTCATGATGTCAATCACTGGAGTGTCTGGTCCAGACTTGGCTATATTTACAGACTACTGTCAAATAACTGGAATATTGCAGAGTGACGCATTAAACAGCAAACAAAAATTTCAAACCCTCCTTAAACCCAACTCACTCCCTCTACTGTTGGGTGGCCCAGTCATCTAAGGCGCCGCGATTCGCTGTGCAGTTGCATCCTTTGGGCATGCCAGAAACCTATGATTGTGGGTTCGAATCCCGGTTCGATTATGTTTCTAGGTTTGTCAGCACCATACCTGTGTGTGGGTTTCACCGAAGTGGTAAACGTCTGAGACCTGCATCACTTCGGGCTTTCCTCCCACATTAAGCTGACACGCCGCGATAAAACTGGAATACTGTTAAAAGTGGCATTAAACACAACTCACTCACTTACTCACTGTTGCCTATGATTATTATAATCTAGTCCACAGAAATTCAGGAAAATATTACACATATGCCATTAACATCAGGATGGCAAATACTAATACCCTATCTATCATTCCTGAAAGCTACTGGCTAGATTTCCTAAATACAGTCTATCATATATGTTTCAGTTTACAAAAGGAGGGATGGTCGGGTAGCCTAGTGGTTAAAGCGTTCGCTCGTCACGCCGAAGAAGTCACGTGAAGCCCATTTCTGGTGTCCTACGCCGTGATATTGCTGGAATATTGCTAAAAGCGGCGTAAAACCATACTCACTCACTACAAAAGGAAAATAAATAAAACAGAATCATTAAATTCTACAGGAGACAAAAGAAGAGTGATTAAAGTCAGTCAAATGTACACCAAAATGTTGATTTTTTATTTATGTGAAATAAACAATAATGTTTACTGTTTCTATGCTGATTTCTCATCACACATGTAAATATGGAACGGTTTGGTGGTCTTGTAGTCCTGCACCATGACTGTGGAATTTATATTTTTTAGGTATTTTGACTAAAAAGCCTAAAAGCCTAGGCAAGTCTAGATCAAACTAACCAAGTCTAGTTTGCTTGATTCCACATGAAAACAGCAGAAGAGGAAAGGTTCTTTCGAAATTTTAAAAACTATTTTAAAGACATGTTTTCATTGACTAAGGTTAGTCTAGTAGTCTAATGGTTAAACCATTTGCTTGACATGCCAAAGGCCTGGGTTCTATTCCCCACATGGGTACAATGTGAGAAGCCCATTTCTGTTGTCCCCTCCATCTGAGGTAGTATATTGACCCGGTCACTCAGTTGTCTGCATGCCATGCTGCACAATCAGACAACTCTGTGATATGCACTACACCTTTTACCTGAAAATGTGATTTCATCATCCAGACTTGGCTTTCACAAGATTGAGTTGGGTTTAACGCCGCTTTTAACAGTATTCCAGTTATATCGCGGTGTGTCAGCTTAATGTGGGAGGAAAGCCCGAAGTGATGCAGGTCTCAGAGGTTTACCACTTCGGTGAAACCCACGAGCATGGTGCTGACAAACCTAGAAACATAATCGGTGCGAACCGGGATTCGAACCCACGATCATAGGTTTCTGGCGTGCCAAAGGGACGCAACCTGCACAGTGAATTGCGGCGCCTTAGCTGACTGGGGGCTTCCACAAGAGATATTGCTGGGAGATATCACTGAAATAAAATTGCATCACAATGCTTTGTAGATCATTGTGTGGTCATCGGTTACCTTGACGTCACAATCAAATGACATAAGAATCTGTCTGCCACTGAAGCAGAGCAGTTTTTACACTCAAAGACACTGATTATTACTGTTTACAAACTAAAAAGGTTGCAAGAATGACTGAGGATGATGAATAGAATCAATCAATCAACCTTTTGATATGAAATTTATCAACACTCATCGATGAAAGCAAGCCTCTTATGTATTAAACTGAGACTCCTGTTGGTGTATTGGTTGGTTGGTTGGTTGTTTAACGCTGCACTCAGCAAAATTCCAGCTATATGACGGCGGTCTGTAAATAATCTGAGTCTGGACCAGATAATCCAGTGATTAATATCATGAGCATTGATCCACGTAACTTGGATCGATGACATGCATCAACCAAGTCAGCAAGCCTGACCACGTGATCCCATCTGTCGCCTCTTACGACAAGCACAGTCCACATGCCTTTTACAGCAAGCATGGGTTGCTGAAGACCTATTCATACCCGGATCTTCTCGGGTTTGGTGTATTGGAAATAAAAAAACACTCGGTCAAGATTCTCAACCCGACGACAAGCATAGTCGCTTTAAATAGAACAATATGACATACATATACTTATACATTGCATTTATGTACATACCAGATTGTTGCTCAATGCCACACTCAGCAATGATGCCAGCTATATGACACTGGCCTGTAAATAATCAATCAGACAATCCAGTGATTGATATTATGAGCAACTATCCACACCATTAGGGTCCAATAGCACGTTACCATGGTTATCAACCAAAGGCTGAAACTGACCACTGCATCCATAAAGTCCCCTCAACATAGGTCACAGGGGACCAGTTCTAACCCAGAATCTCCCCGGGAAAAGAAAAGAACAAATACACAGTTGTGTCCAAAACCACTGAACGCAGGGCATTTCCTTATTTCTTGCCAGACAGGAAAGACACCGAGGACTGGCACATTAGTCCAAATAAAGAAATATTTGTGTTTCAGGTAGCCCAACTCTCAGCTGTAAACAGTTGTCAAGAAACCCATATTTTACATTAAGAAAAAAAGAGTTCCGCATATTACAGTTTTTTTACTTACAAATTTGAGCAACATTGTGATAAGCTAGTGCTTAACATTATACAAAAATATATTTAAAAAAAACCTCTTGCCTACTGACCCATATGACTTGGGCCCATGCAACCTGAAACACAGATGCCGTATTCGACGTAATAAGCGCCCAGGGCGCTCTCAAAATTAGAAATAGGGGGCTCTTATTAGAATATTATGTTGGTGAAAAAAACAGAGTTGAAAGATAAATTTTGTGCTAATTGGAATTGTTCACTAGCCAATATATCAGCAAATATCGCCTTGGGCGCTTATTAGAGCTGGCGCTTATGACGTCGAATACGGTATATATTTTTTTTGGCTTTATGGCAATGAAAAAACAAAAACAATGATATAAAGAAAGATGAGGTTTATTTGGTGTAGTAAAATGGCACTGGCCGTGACATTTTCAGCACCGTCTCAATACAAGTTAGGAATATATAAATGCCATTTTGCCTTCAGTCAATGGAGTGAAAACTCCACATACCACTAAGAAACGAAAGTCTTTTTCCTTCAAAACATGTACCAGTCAGCAGTATATATCCTTTAAGAAACACAAAGCAAAAATACACTATTTGTACAAATACTGCAGTACAGTTTCAGCTATATGATTAAGAATGCTGGCAGCCATGATCAATTAATAACTACACATCCAATTCCACAGGAAAACATGGGCCAGGTTCCTCATGGATTGTTTCCATGGCAACAAAAACATTTTTCAAGAATATTTCAAATTGTTTATTTGTAATCTACAAATATTGTATGAAATGATTCTGAGAAATGATCTCAGCATGTTTGAAAAATCATAATTGCCAAATTTATTGAACATAAACATCCATATAATTGTTTATCTATCATTAAGATGAGAAACAAATTTCAAAATACCGCACAGGTTTTTTAATCTTGAACAAATAAAATTATGGAAATTTGTACCATGTAGTGAATAATTCAAAATGGCTGTCAAGATACTTTTGTATCTTTCCAAATATCCAACACAAACTGACATTAGTTGTTTTTCAAACATCTACTCTAAGGAATACTTGTGCTATGCTGCAAGTCATAAATAAACTAGCTAGTAACTATAGCCTGAATGAGAACTTTAGCTGCCTTCAAAAGCTTCCCTACTCGACGAACGAGCAAGTCAAGTTGACAATACATGGTCCATTAGAATGCGTATACAACACTAAAGGGTGGGTCGCATCATGGAGTCTTTGAGGCGAGGATCCGCAACTGAATAAGTCCCACTGATAACCAATATGTCACATCACATTAAATGTTGCACCAAAGAAATGGATATAGGGCAAATACCTTGCCCAGTAATGATCATGAACAATGGACTAATGGTCAACACAAAAAACAATATTCTCCAATGTTTCTAAACAAGAATTTATCCACATCCTCAACAGTATGTGCTTTAAGCTCAACTCAAAAATATGTCAAACATCCTGACCCTCTTTCATTCAGCATCTTTTGATTCACAAAACGCAAACTTGCAACAAGCAAAAAGCCATCCCCGAACATTTCGGTCACACACCAATGAAATTACACATTCCGATGGGACAAAGTAAATGATATTCCAAGTATGTGAATGTGCAAAACTTGCAATACCACATATTTTGTCCTTGAACATCCTGTCCATGAACAAGCTTCGGATGGCCGACAGGTGAGCTTGTCATACCAAAGATCCGTCATACCATGCACATACTACTACCTTGTGGAGATGAGATGACGATGAGGTGAAACTCCAGACTAGCAATGAAGCACATGGTCTAAGCCTCAGTAACATATAGGCTGCTTCACAATGTAGGTTTCATTCAATGGTCGAATGAAGTGGTAATCATTTGCTTTGCAATATGGGCAGATTATCATCTGGCTGTACTGGCTGAAAAAGTTCAGTCCCGATTTTACATCCACTACAGCGCGACGACAGTGTTTGCAGGTCAAGCGCTTTTGGCAGCAAGGCATTGCTGCGAAGATGTCGTAGGTGTACATGGTGCCCAGGACGTAGGTACTGCTGTTCCATTTGCGCTTGCAGGAAGCACATTTGATGTCGGCTCTTCCCTCCATGCAGCAGACGCAGATGGAGTTGAGGAACTGTATGCGTCCCTCCCAGATAACTTGTACAACTCTCTCATCATAGGCTTGTGGTGAAAGGAAAAAAGTTCCATCTATCAGTGGGTAGTGGTCGAAAACTGGGAGGTTTGACTTGCAAAGTACACACGGGATAGATGTCAGCTTGTAGGAGCTCAGCGCCGAGAGGACGAAGCTGCGGACATCATCATTCCCATAGGGGCCTTCATCTTCCATCTTAATGTTATAAGGGTTCTGTCGCACCCTTGGGACGATGTTGAATGCAGAGAAGTCTTGACGCTTCTTGAAGATGTTTCCTGCCGCAGCTTGAGCATGATCAGCAAAGAAGTCCGATTTCTTGCCATTAACCTTGAAGACGAAAGTCCCTCCTCCTACTGGGGAGGATGACAATGGTGAACAGGAAGTTGCAGAATTGGGGGGGCTGCTGCCAGTACTGCTGATGCTGCTGGTTCGAATGCGTTGCGACCCAGGACTGGAGCTGATGGGGTTGCTGGTGCCGGTGCTGCTGCTGCAGCTGTTGTTGTTAATGATGTTGATGTTAGCACTTACGCTGCTGCTGGTGCTGTTGTTGTTATTGTTGTTGGCATTGGAAGTTGTGTGGTTCTGATGATTGTTGGCGTTGTGAGACGGTTTGTGGGACGTACTCACCACTGGCATGGGTTTGTCATTCTTCTTCTTGTGTTTCTTCAGTTTCTTGGCATTGTCAACTGGAACTGTCGACGGGATGTAGTTTAGATCCTTTCTGATATGCCCTCGTCCACATTTGCAGTCGCAGGCTTTAAAAGCGAGGTCGTAGCCTTTCTTGGTCCACAGGTTTTGCAGCCGCTGCCTCTCGCTCCAACTTCGGGCACGGCCACATGATCGCAAATAGCTCAGAACCGACTGTTCCCACTCGTCAAAACACTCCTTATGCATCCATGTTCCGTTCTGGCAATTTTCATTATTACAGAAAACTTTCACAGCTCTTCCTGGCTCGTGCTCGTCAATTGTCTCCTCCGGATTCCGGCAGTTGGACGGGACACAACACACGAACATTCGGGGCCCGTCATTGTCGACTCGCGCCTGGCGGCCATGACTGTTGTTATTCGCTTCGACATGCTCGATATTGTTGTTCGTATCCTCCTCCTTAGAACGATGATTACGGTGGTGTTTGTGGTTAGGCATCCTCAGACTAAACCGTACTATCAAAGAATGTCACTTTTCACAACTGTCACAACGATTAAACACCGATTTCTTCCTCAAACGCTCCACTTACACTTGCCGGTAGGCACACTCTAGCAAGTCTGTTGTGTTTCGGAAGGCGTGTCGACGGAATATAATGAGATGAATTGTAAACATGGTAGTGATTGGCTGTAACTTTTCTTCCACTTCGAAAGCGATTCCATGATTCGTTGACGGTCGGCCTCGACCTAGACCTTTACTTGATATGTTAATGAGCAGGGATGTTTACATCCAAAATATGTGTCGAGGTCAGACTGCCTGGCATATGATTCAAAAGCACTACTAAATATATCCCATTATTGCTGCAATGTGTAAACCGGCATGCTTGCATTAATGAAACGAGTTATACATGGTTGAGACTTAGAATCAAGCAGCCACGGATAGCTTTTGTCAAAAGAACGTTTGTGCAAAGGGATATATAAATAGCTACACATCACCTAGATTCGATTTTGTTTTTGTCGTCCAACTTGTCACGTGACTTCAACATAATAAGGAAGCTTAGCCTAGGTCGTGTTTATTTGGGTTTGGAGGAAAGGAAATAGACTTCGACGATCACATTCAGTTGAAATGAAATCGATATAGCTTTAACATGTTATACAGGTGCAAGATATCATATTACATCCAACCTGCAAATGCGTTCGCTGACGCATACACATTATATAGTTAATTTGATTCTAATAGTTTAATTAACACATATTACACGTACTTCATGAAATTGATAATGTCAACAAATACTACTTGCAAATACTTCGTTAGACTTCTGGAAATGAGTCACTGCTGGAATCGAGGGACTGGTCATTTATAACAGGTGTGACACCCCCCAGCCACCCCAATCTCACGCCCCCTCACCTATGATAAATAACAGTCCCTTATTTGTATATTCATCATATTAAATATATAAATATGTTCATTTGGGATTCAGTAATACTGTTACCCGGGTTTAAATAAAAACAACAGGAGACGTCTAGCTAAACCCCTTCAATGCAATTAATGTACAGGTAATACACTAATGCTGGCACAAATGGTACTAACAAATACATAGCTCTCAATACATGTCTATAGTTGTAGTGTATGAGTCAGACTTTGGCCTACATTGTTAATTGTCAGCGTTCGTTCCGCCAAAGGATAAATTTAGAAAGGTCATGACGACATTTACAACAAAAAAGAGAGAAGACGATATGATCCTTATATGGTCTTCCAAAATCAACAACGAATAATATTTGTTGTACAGCTTTGTGTTGTTGGATTGTGCAATGTTGTATTTTGGAGTACCTACATTTTAGGGCGCTTCATTGGCAATAATGTTATAAAAAGTCGAATGTATGTCCAAATAGATGATTATAGTATTATCTTGGTGGTGAATAAACACTCATCGGATTATCAGGGTGACACGCTGATAAGAAGCAAAACAAAACGACAACAATATTTTACTTGACAGCGAATAGTGTCATAGGGTTCAAGAAAATTAATGTGCGATGTTTGTCATTGAAATAAAGACCCACAACTACACCCCCCCATACTCGGGATCGTGAGTGCCTATACATTAAGTGCAGATACTCGGGGTACAGATAGTCGGGGCACAGATGGGTATAGATACTCGGGGTACAGATGGGTACAGATACTCGGGGTACAGATGGGTACAGATAGTCGGGGCACAGATGGGTACAGATACTCGTGGCGGAGATACTCGGGGTACAGATAGTCGGGGTACAGACGGGTACAGATAGTCGGGGTACAGATGGGTACAAATAGTCGGGGCACAGATGGGTACAGATAGTCGGGGTAGAGATACTCGTGGTGGAGAAACTCGTGGTGGAAATACTCAGGGTACAGATAGTCGGGGTACAGATGGGTACAGATAGTCGGGGTACAGATGGATACAGATAGCCGGGGTACAGATGGGTACAGATACTCGTGGTGGAAATACTCAGGGTACAGATAGTCGGGGTACAGATGGATACAGATAGCCGGGGTACAGATGGGTACAGATACTCGTGGTGGAGATACTCGGGGTACAGATAGTCGGGGTACAGATAGTCGGGGTACAGATGGGTACAGATACTCGGGGTACAGATGGGTACAGATAGTCGGGGCACAGATGGGTACAGATACTCGTGGCGGAGATACTCGGGGTACAGATAGTCGGGGTACAGACGGGTACAGATAGTCGGAGTACAGATGGGTACAGATAGTCGGGGCACAGATGGGTACAGATAGTCGGGGTAGAGATACTCGTGGTGGAAATACTCGGGGTACAGATAGTCGGGGTACAGATGGGTACAGATAGTCGGGGTACAGATGGATACAGATAGCCGGGGTACAGATGGGTACAGATACTCGTGGTGGAAATACTCAGGGTACAGATAGTCGGGGTACAGATGGATACAGATAGCCGGGGTACAGATGGGTACAGATACTCGTGGTGGAGATACTCGGGGTACAGATAGTCCGGATACAGATGGGTACAGATACTCGGGGTACAGATGGGTACAGATACTCGGGGTGGAGATACTCGGGGTACAGATAGTCGGGGTACAGATGGGTACAGATGGTCGGGGCACAGATGGGTTCAGATACCCGTGGTGGAGATACTCGGGGTACAGATACTCGGGGTACAGATAGTCGGGGTACAGATACTCGGGATGCAGATACTCGGGGTGCAGAGAGTCGGGGTACAGATAGTCGGGGTGCAGATACTCGGCGCACAGATGGGTACAGACACTCGGGCTACAGATAGTCGGGGTAGAGATACTCCGGGTACAGAAACTCGGGGTACAGATACTCGGGGTACAGATAGTCGGGGTACAGATACTCGGGGTACAGATACTTGGGGTACAGATATTGGTACAGATAGTCGGGTTCACATGCGTTCAGATACTCGTGGTAGAGATACTCGGGATACAGACACTCGGGGTACAGATGAGTACAGATACTCGGGGTACAGACACTCGGGACAGAGATATTCAGGGAACTGATTGGTACAGATAGTCGGGGTGCAGATACTCCGGGTACAGATACTCGGGGTACAGATACTCGGGGTACAGATCGGTACAGACACTCGGGGTACAGATGGGTACAGATACTTGCGTACAGATTGGTACAGAAACTCGGGGTGCAGATATTCGGGGCACATATGGGTACAGATACTCGGGGTGCAGATGGGTACAGATAGTCGGGGCACAGATGCTAGGGGTGCAGATACTCGGGGTACAGATGGGTACAGACACCCGGGGTACAGATGGGTACAGATACCCGCGGTACAGATGGGTACAAATACTCGGGGTACCTATGGGTGCAGATACTCGGGGTACCTATGGGTGCAGATACTGGGGGTACGGAAGGGTACAGATACTCGGGGTGCAGACACTCAGGGTACAGATGCTCGGGGTACAAATGGGTACAGACACTCGTGGTACAGATACTCGGGGTACAGATGGGTACAGATACTAAGGGTGCAGACACTCGGGGTACAGATACTCAGGGTACAGATGGGTACAGATACTCGGGGTACCTATGGGTGCAGATACTGGGGGTGCAGAAGGGTACAGATACTCGGGTACAGATGGGTACAGACACTAGTGGTACAGATACTCGGGGTACAGATGGGTACAGATACTCGGGGTGCAGACACTCGAGGTACATATACTCAGGGTACAGAAGGGTACAGATAATCGGGGTACAGATGGGTACAGATAGTCGGGGCACAGATGCTAGGGGTGCAGATACTCGGGGTACAGATACTCGGGGTACAGATGGGTACAGATACTCGGGGTGCAGATGCTCTGGGTGCAGATACTCGGGGTAAAGATGGGTACAGATACTCGGGGTGCAGATACTCGGGGTACAGATACTCGACTCAGCGTAAAGATACTCGGGGTACAGATGGGCACAAATGCTCGGGGTGCAGATACTCGGAGTACAGATGCTCGGGGTACAGATGGGTACAGACATTGGTGGTACAGATACTCGGGGTACAGATGGGTACATACACTAGTGGTACAGATACTCGGGGTACAGATGGGTACAGATTCTCGTCGTGCAGACACTCGTGGTACAGATACTCCGGGTAGAGATGGGTACAGATACTCGGGGTGCAGACACTCGGGGTGCAGATACTCGGGGTACAGATGGGTACAGATACTCGGGGTACAGATGGGTATAGATACTCAGGGTACGGAAGGGTACAGATACTCGGGGTACAGATGGGTACAGATGCTCGGGGTGCAGATACTCGGGGTGCAGGTACTCAGGGTACAGATACTCGGGGTACAGATGGGTACAGATACTCGGGGTACAGATGGGTACAGATGCTCGGGGTGCAGATACTCGGGGTGCAGATACTCAGGGTACAGATACTCGGGGTACAGATGGGTACAGATACTCAGGGTATAAACGCTCGCGATACAGATAATCCGGGCACAGACACTCGGGCTACAGATAGTCGGGGTATAGATGGGTACAGATACCTGGAGAACAAGTACTCGGGGTACAGATGGGCACAGATGCTCGGGGTGCAGATACTCGGGGTGCAGATACTCAGGGTACAGATTGGTACAGATACTCGGGGTACAGATGGGTACAGATACTCGGGGTACAGACACTCGGGGTGCAGATACTCGGGGTACAGATGGGTACAGATACTCGGGGTACAGATGGGTACAGATACTCGGGGTACAGATGGGTACAGATACTCGGGGTACAGATACTCGGGGTGCAGATACTCAGGGTACAGATTGGTACAGATACTCGGGGTACAGATTGGTAGAAATACTCGGGGTACAGATGGGCACAGATGCTCGGGGTACAGATACTCGGGGTGCAGATACTCGGGGTACAGATGGGTACAGATACTCGGGGTACAGATGGGTACAGATACTCGGGGTACAGACACTCGGGGTGCAGATACTCGGGGTACAGATGGGTACAGATACTCGGGGTACAGATGGGTACAGATGCTCGGGGTGCAGATACTCGGGGTGCAGATACTCAGGGTACAGATTGGTACAGATAATCGGGGTACAGATGGGTACAGATACTCGGGGTACAGACACTCGGGGTGCAGATACTCGGGGTACAGATGGGTATAG